CTACAGAAAAGGTGACACATTACAGATGAGTTCATAAAAAGTGTCACTGTCACTCTTTCAAGGCTCTGTCACTTGGTAAAGTAGGCCTAGGCTGCCATCTTGTGGCAGTATGTTGTTACTACAACATATGAAATTGTGTTTCTATTGGAAATATAATTCAGCGCCACTGAGCCGCTCTCTCAGTTACAAACTGAACCCGTTTTTTTAGACATATAAATCACTAAAGACAGTGAAGCTTTTGGTTTTGTAAAAGTGGTTCATAATCAAAATGCACGTTAATTTTATAAGGTTGAAGAGCAGTTAGCAGTGCATTCATGGACGTCTTTTAACTATTAATTTAACAATCTTTTGTCACGATGGCATGAACTACAAACGTGAGCTCCAGGTGAGACTGCACAGAAGAACAAGTGTCCTTAAACTGCATCAACTGATGACTTCTTACAATTTTATTCTGTGTTTTTATAATCTTTGTGTACACATACTAACACAAGCTACTGTAACTTAGAGAAGCTCAGCAATATATTATTAAGTATACAAACAGTTCCAGGTTCTGGACTTTTTGAAGGGCCCACTTTGGATCATGTGAAGGACGTTCAGTTTTTCTTCTTCTAGGCATTGAAGGGTTAATGCTGTTAATTGCAGTGACAGATAACTTGCTGAAGTTGGTGCACCTTGTGGACCAAAGAATAATATCCAGTATGATGTAAATGAAAAAAATAAATGTTATGACTGTAAGGCTGGACTTTCTTCTCTGTTCATTTGCCTAACCCTAGCCCCAAGTACCGGTAGCCCCTATTCAGCGACAGGTTGCTTCTCCCAAAGTCAAGAACCAACAGACTTAAAAACTCCTTTGTCCCAAACGCCATCCAGCTGTTTAACTCCTCGTTGGAGGAGAGAGGGAGGGGAAACGGGGACAAAGGAGAGTGGGAACAACTGAGCTGTAGTGGGTTTTTTTACACTGTGCAATATTCACAATATTTCCTCTTATATTCGACTGTGCAACAGACTCACTCAAATGTGCAATCCACAGGTATTCCTATTTATCCATATTATGTATTCTGTGTACATATATATATATATATATATATATGGTATATTTATGTTTAAATTCTGCTCTGATTCCCCTTGATTGTATCTGTAACATGCAACTTCTGTCAGTGCTACTGGAAACTGAATTCCCCGGAGGAACCCACCTGAGGGATTAATAAAGTTTCATCTAATCTAATCTAGTGAGATCAGTCTCACATGTCTGATCATAGAAATTGTGGACTTTTCAGGAAATGTCTTTTCAGGAAACTAAAACAAGAGTAAGATGGGACAGTTAGAAGGAAATAAGAAACTCAATTCATTTTTAAATAAATTGTTCCCATATGTCTATATGCTGTCAAACTGGCAGTAAGAAACATGGTTTTAAATAGCTCTATATGGCATTACTAGCACTTCGACCTTCAGATCAATTTATTAACGGAGAGGTCACAGGTCAAATGTGACATATGTTTATACACTACTTTCTACATGATGACAATACACAGTACACTTTTAAGAGTCATACTTTCTAAATTATAAGACTTTTTGTCAATTTTTGACCAACAGATCATGACACTGACCTTGAAAACCTCTGTGGATGTTGGGTGAAATCAAACGGATTGGTCACTTGAGCCCACACTACACCCCCACAAGGTTTTTTTTTTTT